CGGGGAGTCTCTTGCCAAAGTCCACGAGCGGAGGGCTCGGACCAGGCTGAGACCTTTCCCCGAGAGCACGGAGACCCTAACGTCACCTCCGCGCCGTGGCTCCACGCACACACCACCACCGCTCCTGCTCCCATCAGTGTCTAGTGGTGGTTCGTAGGCAAGCTTTCAAACGCAATTGCTCCCACAGCTCCCCACAAAACTTCCAAAGTTCACCTTTTGGGGCTACCCATGCCTCACGGCAACTTAAAAACACAGTTTTCCAGCTATGCAGTACCAAGGATTCTTAGCAGGAAACAATCCAAGCTACCTGTCTGGTCACCAGGAGCCCCCAAGGTGCGCCGAGATTTAAGAGCACCAAGCCTGGGCTTCACCCAAGGCGGAGCAGACAAAGCCTCCTGGGCTACGCAGGCTCCTTCCCCACGGTCTTTATTTTCACTCTCCACCGCTCCATCTCTTCCAGTTCTAAGTGTTTCACGCACAAACAAGTTGTCATATTAAACCAATTTGGCAGCAGAACTGCAGGCCCAGAGGGAAGCAATCCTGCGCGTTTGCAGTAACTTAATCTGCAATTTCAATAGGATACAGTTCCAGCAGTCTGCTGCCCCGGACCTTTGTGCAGTGGCTGGGCATTGTTCAACAGCTGCCACGCTCCGCTCTGCCCAGCTGCAGTTCTGCCACAATTAAATCATAATTATTTTTTCTTCCCCATGCAAAAACCACACCAAAAAAACCCATCTATTAGAGAGATATCAGCCAAGCCCTGCCCCTGCTAAGACCGTCGGGTAAGCGGGCGTCCCCACACACCACCCCCATGCGCCGAATTGAGGGAAGAGGACTTGGCCGCCGATAATTTAGTCCTCAATCGTGCAACTTCAGTACGGCTCATGGGCAACATTTAACTCCAAATCTCGGTTATCCTGACACTTCAACTGGCCCTGCGCAGAAGTAACAATAACATGAGTTTACCGGTTCAAAGCAGTTTTCATCACAAGCATTTTACCCCCCTTTTATTCCCCCTGCCCCCCAAAGAGCAAACCCATGTATATTCACCAAAACGGACATAATAAAAAAGGGCGACTCCAGCCAAAGCGGATCGTGGCTGATCCGCACCAGAGAACCAGCGTTGAACCAGGCGAACGCTTACATTTCGGGACAAGGGGGAAAGCGATGTGTTCATAGAGGATTTAGGGAAGACAAAAAGCTTCACAGCTACAGGTTACAACACCTTTTCTTCAAAGAAGCTGCAAGTAAGTGTGCTGCGCTTTGCCGTTACCCCTCTTCCTTTTCAGACTACACCGCTACTCGCCTTCCATGTCTTAGAGAGGAGAGAGGCTCGGCTACATGGAACGTGAAGCGTGGAATCTCCGGAAAAAGAGGTGATACAGAAAGGTAACGAACTGTTCATTTTATTAGAGATTTCAGGCAAGTTACAATTTCAGAACAAGGATCTGTCGGTCACATCCGCTATCCCCAGCTGTGTCAGACCTGCCGGCTGATGCTAGGCAAGTCCTGGCACATCCCAGCCTCAGTTTCCCTTATCTGTTCATACAGAAAATTTCCATCCCCCTCCGACAAAGCTTAAGTATCACGTGCAAAAAGCTCCAAAGGAAAGGACCACAGAGGGCAAAGCATTTGGAAAGATTTTCCTGCAACGTGGGGCAGGACAAGCACCCGAAGGAGCCCGACGCGGGGGGCTGGTTTATCAGTGTTATGATTTTTTTTTTTTTCTTCCCCCTCTCTGGAGCAAACACATGGCAGCTGCAAACCGAGTAACTCCCGCACATGGGGAGTACAAGATTTGGGGGGTGGGGGGATGCCCCCGGATACACCAACAGAGACCCCAGCTCGGTCTGGGGGTGCAGCGCGTTACGGGGAGGACTCGCCAGCCGGGAGAGCGCCCGAAACCGGCGCAGAGGGAAG